TCGCATCGGTGTGAAGATACAATGAGCTGGTGGACCGTTGGCAATTTCATTGAGTGCTGTCATCGCCTCATGATGATCGGATTCGTGGCCAGTGACTTCACCTCCAATGGAATCTCGACGACTGTTTAGTTGAAGAAGTCGTTCGCAGCACAATTCAAAGTTAAGCGATGGCGTGCTGGTTCTAATAAGCAGGTCCAGGGGCGCCTTCAGTCCAGAGGTCTTTCAGGTAAAAAAGTTCCGATAGTCAAAAGGAAGCAGATCATTCCTTCTTACGTAAAGAGTGTTTACACTGTTGGGCAGATTAGGGATTTAAAAATGAGGTATTTATCCAAATTCTATGCCTTTAAACGAGTGATCATTCCAGCTACAGGATGCGATGATCTTCCAACGAGGCACGGACTTGTTCACCCCTCTCCCGCAAGACATGTTAGATTCGGAAATGTACAACATAATCGCGATTGTCACCATCTCCACTTCTACCATCCTCCCACTGCTCGTCCCTCCGTTTCCTTTCCCGCCCAGTGGCATACTGCCAAGGCTAGCCGATCACCATCACGCAGCAGCTAATCGTGAGGACAATGCTGCGGATAGGGACGAGGGTGGGTTGTAAGTCACCTGCCTGCCTTCCCGCCAAGTCCAATGTCCGATTCCGCTTTCCTCTCTCCTCATCAGCCTTCTGCCTCATCCGCCTCCCCATCCCTGCATCAATCTATCGGGCGAAGGGGCTGATCTCGGTAGCAATTGTTTGTCCTTCAACTAGTAAACAAATCCCCATTAACACTTGCCTCTATATTTCAACGCACACATGCACACACACACACACAAGGCGTCGCCCTTTAGGAATGCAGATCTCGGAGGTGTGAAGTGGGTGGTGCATCACTAGGTGACAACCACAAGCCATTTCTCATTCCAAGTCAATCAGTCAGTCTGTTTGTCGGTCAATCAACCTCTCTACCCCCACCTCCCCCACCTCCTCCTCCTCTCTCTCTCGCTTTCTGTCTGCCTGTCGGTTGGTGTGTCTGTTACGTATTTTTCAATCATTCAACCATCAGTGTGAAAGGTGAGGATGCTGGAGCTTGGAGAAGTGGAGAACAATGTGACTTTCACCGTCACACGCG